CCTGCATTAAGAGTGTGTCTAAATCTCAAAAGCTCAAAATGTTCTGTTCCACCTTGTGATGTCACGGTGCGGTAGTTTTCAAGCTACCTCCACAGTTACGTTTTACCTTTAGTTCAGTAAAGATTTGCTATTCCAGGGCTGAAATTATCCAAATGATTCTTGTGAAGGTGTGTGGACTTTAAAAACACAAAACACAGTGGAGCACTTCCTGTATTACTACATGACATCACAAAGTGGAGTGTTTTCTGTCTGAGAGAAGAACTCAGCCTAAATATGCAGTGTTTGAGTGTCAAACATGTGTGAATGAAACAAAACACAACTCCAGGTGTGTTTGTGATGAGGAAACTACATTATCACGTAGATGAGAAAACAGTGGCCCCGGTCAAGCAGAAATAAACAACAAGGCCAAAAATTCAAGTTAATGCATCTGATATAAAAATGTATTGAACAGATACATATGTACTCTAGTTTATGAAACTGTTGACCTTTTTTCTGTACCATTTTTGGTTCTAAAGTTCCATATGTTTTAAACAGACCATGTATGAAACATGGAACAAAAATGATTTCCCAAATTTCAAAGACCTGCAAATCATGTAAATAAATGGATGTATTTCATCATATCTTGTGTTATTCCATCTTTGAACTGTTGATGAAGGTACATGATTTAAAAAAAATCACTTAAACCCAATCTGGCAACACTGATAGATCCTGTCCCCCTTGCCCCAGCGGATTTACACAAAGCCAGTGATCTGTCCCAGTTATAAACAAGAAATGTCCCAGGTGTCTCTGTTTTGACCAATTTGATCTAAACCAGGACTAAACTAAGACTAAACCAGGACTACATCAGGTCTAAACCAGGACTAAACTAAAACTAAACCAAGACTACATCAGATCTAAACCAGGACTAAACTAAGACTAAACCAGGACTAGACCAGGACTAAACTAAGACTAAACCAGGACTACATCAGGTCTAAACCAGGACTAAACTAAAACTAAACCAAGACTACATCAGATCTAAACCAGGACTAAACTAAGACTAAACCAGGACTAAAACTAAACCAGGACTAAACTAAAACTAAACCAAGACTACATCAGATCTAAACCAGGACTAAACTAAGACTAAACCAGGACTAGACCAGGACTAAACTAAGACTAAACCAGGACTACATCAGGTCTAAACCAGGACTAAACTAAAACTAAACCAAGACTACATCAGATCTAAACCAGGACTAAACTAAGACTAAACCAGGACTAGACCAGGACTAAACTAAGACTAAACCAGGACTACATCAGGTCTAAACCAGGACTAAACTAGGTGTCACAATTTTGGACTAATCTGATCCTCTCCAACAATAAAGAGAAGCATAAATTGTCATTTCTTTTGCCAAAATACAGAAAACCGTGTTTGCGAATGACCAAAAACGCCGTAACAGAAGTCCCTCATATTATGACTGACACGAGAATCCACAATGTTCCACGCTCTTTTCACAGTTTTATTTATGCCAACCGTCCCAACCCGAGTGTGTCCCAGTTTAGAATTTGGAAAATCTGGTCACCCTAGATTAAGCGCTCGTACCCCCACTGTGCTGTTCGTCCATGCGCAGAAGCTGTCATTCATTACTTAATGTGGTCTCTGCGCGCGCTCTAAATCCTGCAGCGAAACGAATGGATGGGATAGGTCTATTTGCCGGTTCGGAAGTGTCCACCTGTGCTCTTGTGTTGGAGAGCCGCAGCCGTTTGACTTGAACAAATTCAATCAGAGCGTGTGTAAATCCCGGTAATTAGCCAGGCCCCTGAGCCGCGGCTAATGGAGCGGGACCAGGCAGGATTACAACAGTGAGCAGAGAGGAGGACGGAGGGCTCACAGTCCACATATGTGCAAAATCTGCTGGCATTTTGTGTGACATTTTAAATCAAATCATCATAAACTGTTGTATCTGCTGTATCCAGTGTTGGGAAGTAACAGATTACATGTACCAGAGTTACATAATTAGAGTATGAATTATGAGTAACTGTATTCAGTTACAGTTACTGTTTAAGTGAGTGGTAATTAGATTACAGTTACTTTGTTGAAATAAATGGATTACACAGAGGTGTTTTCCTGTTTTCACCTTTTGGGCTATATGCCTTTAAAAAAAAAAAAAAATTCAGTAATTCCACTCATTGCTTATATTGCTACTGACTACTACTACTACTACTACTACTACTACTACGGCTACTACTACTACTACTACTACTACTACTGGCTACTAAATTACCTAGGTCTAAACTAGGACTAAACTAGGACTAAACCAGGACTAAACCAGGACTAAACCAGGACTAAACCAGGACTAAACTAGGACTAAACCAGGACTAAACCAGGACTAAAACCAGAACTAAACCAGAACTAAACCAGGACTAAACCAGGACTAAAACCAGGTCTAAACCCAAGTCCAAACCAGGTCTAAACTAAGTCTAAACTAAGTCTAAACTAGGTCTAAACCAGGACTAAACTAGGACTAAAACCAGGTCTAAACTATGTCTCAAACAGGATTTAACAGGACTAAACCATGCTGTGTCTCCTCGTCTTTTATCAATAATATTTTTAATTTGGTTCAGTAAAGTCTGGGCCTTTTATTTTCTTTTAACAGACAAAACATCTGATGTGAAGATTTCTTCATCTTTGTTTCTCTACAGCAAATCAAGTAATCCAAAGTATTCAGATTACGTTACTCACCTGAAGTAATTTAATGGATTCCGTTACAAACTACATTTTGGGGTATGTAATCTGTAATCTGTAGGGGAATACATTTCAAAAGTCACCTTCCCAACATTGGATGTATCACAATGTTATTATGTCCAAGAAAAGGTTTTAAAACAGCAAATGAGTTAATTAGAACCACCAGCCTCTCACACCACACACACACACACACACACACACACACACACACACACACACACACACACACACACACCACCACACACACACATCACCATCACACTACACAAAGAGGCCAAAGTGTCTTGCCTAAGGACACAATTGCCATATTTACATGAGAACTTTAACTCCGAATAAAAATAATTTAACTCTGAATAAAAATTAACACTGCTTTAAGATCAGGTAAACACTTAATTCCTAATAAAAATGATTATTCTGAATTTAACTTCATTCCAAAGTAAGTGTGTGGTTTATTCCAATTTTAAAGCCAAATTCATTTATTCCCGGATCATGTAAACATTTACCCTGATTCATCAGACGGTTTCACTTCGTAGAAAGACCTCGCAGCATTAGGATTAATTCGCTCAATGGTAGGCAGGTACTTTTTTTAATTTAACCAATCGCTGCTATTTGGTCGTGACGTATGTAATGCGCCGCTAACGGGGCTAACTTGTTGATTAAGCTTTTCCCAAATCCAGTAGGAAGAAGAACAATAATGTCTTTCCCCTTGATCAAATTCACCAAACATTCTCTTTGTTCAGGCTTCAAATCCTCGATCTTGGAAATCGTTGCCAACACAGAATGTCTGGCTCTTTGCTGATTGACTGGTGCCCAGATTCGCACTTCTGAGGTTTTTGCGAACCGTCTAGTGTATTCTGATTCCTGACCTAGTCGCTGGAGAGAAATGAAATTGAGCGGAGGCACCAGGTGGCACCAGCCTGGCTAGTAAACAATTATTCTTGTTAAAAAATAATGTCGGTGGTTCAGTTCATGCTCGTTGTGTCGCCCTTCTGACGTGCTCCACCAGTCCTGTCTTCAGACTTTCATCCATGTCTCTTTTGATTTGTGAGCGGGATGTGGGATAAGGTGTGATGAGAGAATTCTCCAGCTGCTGGGCAATTATCATCGGAACCACTGCGGGAAAAAGTTTGGATCATGTTTGTGTCCGTGGAGTAACGACAAACCGAGATGACAGAAAATCCAGTCTTCCGGTCGATGTAAATACGTTGGTGTCTCTGTCCAATCAGAACCTTCTCCACCCCCAGACGCTAAGCAGAATTAAATAAAGACAATTTAATGTGTTTTCCATGTAAACCTCAATTCAGAATTATTATTTCCATGTAAAGTCAAAAGAGAATATTTTAATTCCGAACTATTTAATTTGGTCTAGCACCGAAGTATTAATCAGGCCGTGCGTTGCTTAGTCTCTGAGATGAGACGAGGCTGGGCATTGGAAAGGTGCTTGGCTCTTTTGCTTGTTCCTTCCTTCATGTGTCATGTCTTTGGTGAACGTGCTGACAGTACTGTATATTAACATGCAGTGTAGACAGTTGTAAAAGTGAACACAGGAGCACTTCCTGGTCTTACACTGTTAGACCATTAAGAAGCTGCTGACATACTTTGATACAGTGCACTTTAGATTTGATACCATATATTTCAAATTTCAAATTTAAAAAATAAAGGCTAAATCATGTCTGTGATACTAAAAGTCTTTGTTAAAACACGTCTTGTGCAAACTTCATATGAAACATAAACATTTTAATCCTCAAAACAGTGAAAATGTCAAATGTGTTGCATAAACAAGTTTCCTTCCACTAAACAAGAAACAAAACTGAAGCACTATAACAAAATAATTTAGTCAGATATACCACTTTACAAGCTGCTCTAAGAACTTTAAAGTACATTTTTATTTGCAGGCTGAACAAATCAGAGAATGAAATAATAATGTCACTCACAGATATTATTTTAGAGATCCAGTGCAATATGATATCAGTCCAATATGTGGAGACACTTGTATTTTTGTCTTTTAAAAACATAAATGTTTTGTCACTGTCCTTGTCTGTTTTAAAAATGGACCATGAGTCCAGAATAAAGATGACCTGAACTAAACTGAGCTGATACCAAAAAATACTCTTGGCGATAAATCGATACAGCAGCCCATGATATCGATACTGTATCATCACATTAAATAATAGGATATATCGATATTTTAATACTTTTGCACACTCCTAGAGATCATCAGATATAACCTGACATAAACCTGCCATGGATTCAATTGTTAGGTAATACTGAATAGTCAGACAGGTGCTGCCTTCACCTGGCAAGGGCCACGCACCGTCCATCGGAGACTTCTCCTCTGCGATCTCATCCTCCTCCTCCAGCAGCACCTCCTCTGCAACACACACACACACACACACACACACACACACATAGTTTTGCCTGAAATGTTCCACAATATGGCTTGAAACGTTTCTATCTCCATGGAGAAAAACAGTAGATGCCCATCAGGCCAAGTTACAGATCAGATCTCTGAAGAGGCCTCCCTGATCACAACTCTAATTATGCTTATGTCACAAACCAGGAAGACATTTGGAAACATGCAATGGCAACTTCCAGAGGCTCTGTTCTGTAGTAAGTCTGACAAAATCTAGGAAAAATGAGAAAATGCCCCAGTTTTCTTCAACTCCGTGTTTTTGTAGTGTTCCGTTATGTTCTGCTAATCAACAATTCCAACCAAACCTCAGTTTTCATCATTTCCCCACTGACACACAACTCTGAGTGCACTGGTACATGTGATTAGAAGAGACGAGGGGCCAAACTCCAGATGATTCCAAACAGCACATACATCTGCATTCTTTATTTTACCACTGATCATATTTAATGGGTTTGATCACAGTCGTTTAGTGAGCCCAGTGTCGGGAACTACACCGGAAGTTGCTGCTCGTTGTGTTGTCCTTTGACGTGATCCGGACGATGCGGCACCACCAGTTCTGGCTTCGGACTTTCATCCACGTCTCTTGGGCTTAGGTAGAGCATGTTTCCAAACATCTTCCTGGTTTGTGACATAAGTGTGAATAGAGTTTTTAGAAATGCATGTTTTCACCATGTTGTTCAGAGATGTAGGTGAACAGCGAACATAGAAAACGAGACAAAGCCTGCATACTTACTCACAAACTTAACTTTAAAAAGTCACACCATTTGACCAGTTCGAGGTTAGGGGTTAGGGGTTTGGGTTTAGGCTTGTTTTGACAGTGTGGTACCTGCTTTACAGATCCATTCCAGGTACCCGGTGAGCTCCCTCTCGATCTGCTGCTGTCTGCGGAGCTTGAGGAACACCTGCCTCTTCTCCACACGCTCCCTCTCTTTCGCAAACTCCCTGCAAACACAAAACAGTCAGTGAGAGACAGTGAGGGACAGAACACAGCAGATGGAGACAGGCAGGACAAAGGATCATGAACTTCTATAAAAACTGAGATTCGTCAACAAGAGGTTTAAACACATTTCAGTTATTTCAATGGTCAAGTTTAATGGCTCTGGTACATAGACTGTATAAAGAAGTGGACTGAGGAAGCTCGATGTCACCCATAGCTTTCAGCTCCAGTCAAATTAAGTTTACGAGGCTTATTTTAAGTATTCATTTATTTATTTGGGACAGAGCATGTTAATGGACAAAGACACACCATGAATGTTAACACACAGGACTGTCGCCTAAGACTAATTTCCATCCATTGTACGAAAGGGCAGGGGTCACAGGGGTCAAACATTAAAATACTGCACACTGCATTCATTGCACAGTTCCCATGATTGCACACTCTGTTCATTGTACAGTTCCCATTATTGCACACTCCGTTCATTACACACTCCATTCATTGCACAGTTCCCATTATTGCACACTGCATTCATTGCACAGTTCCCATTATTGCACACTCCATTCATTGCACAGTTCCCATTATTGCACACTCCATTCATTACACACTGCCTTCATTGCACAGTTCCCATTATTGCACACTCCATTCATTACACACTGCCTTCATTGCACAGTTCCCATTATTGCACACTCCGTTCATTGCACAGTTCCCATTATTGCACACTCCGTTCATTACACACTGCCTTCATTGCACAGTTCCCATTATTGCACACTCCATTCATTGCACAGTTCCCATTATTGCACACTCTGTTCATTACACACTGCCTTCATTGCACAGTTCCCATTATTGCACACTCCATTCATTACACACTGCCTTCATTGCACAGTTCCCATTATTGCACACTCCATTAATTGCACAGTTCCCATTATTGCACACTCCATTCATTACACACTGCCTTCATTGCACAGTTCCCATTATTGCACACTCCGTTCATTGCACAGTTCCCATTATTGCACACTCCGTTCATTACACACTGCATTCATTGCACAGTTCCCATTATTGCACACTCCATTCATTGCACAGTTCCCATTATTGCACACTCCGTTCATTACACACTACTGCCTTCATTGCACAGTTCCCATTAATTGCACAGTTCCCATTATTGCACACTCCATTCATTACACACTGCCTTCATTGCACAGTTCCCATTATTGCACACTCCGTTCATTGCACAGTTCCCATTATTGCACACTCCGTTTATTACACACTGTCTTCATTGCACAGTTCCCATTATTGCACACTCCATTCATTGCACAGTTCCCATTATTGCACTCTCCGTTTATTACACACTGCCTTCATTGCACAGTTCCCATTATTGCACAATCCGTTCATTACACAGTTCCCATTATTGCACACTCCATCCATTACACAGTTCCCATGATTGCACACTCCATTCATTGCACAGTTCCCATTACTGCACAAGTTTTCTGTCAGTTAGGCCACACATTCAATACATGTAAATATGTGTCCATAGAAGATCAAGTAAAATCACAATGCAGCTCTAGATTTCAGATTTCCACCTTGGACAGATAAAACATTTGGACCAAAGGTGGTCTTTGTGGGGTATGACCAGGTCTCCCCTGGTGATGGCTCGCATGGTCCTTTCTGAAATGTCTTTTTGTTTGATGTCCTCTTTTAGCGATGGTGGTGTGAGGGAGTGTAGGACCTTATCAATTAGACAAGCCCTTTTAAGTTTGACCATGTTGCTGAAATCCAAAAACCTATAGGATCGCAGTTATAGGAGCCAATTTGGAGCTGAGTTCCATATTAGGATTAGAAATTGATTTACAGACAAACAGTAAAATAAAAAGACCAGGATCATGTAGAGTGGGATAATACAAACATTTTAAGACCAGAATGAAGAGGCTCACTGCAGCAGTTACAAAGAGAGAAGCCACAATTTTTCAGTGTAAAGTTAATTGGAAACTGAGTCGATGAAGCCAGAAGAGCACCCATGCTCACTTCCTATTTATAACACGACAGCTAGCAGGTCAACTATGTCCATTTACATATACCGTATTTTCCGCACTATAGGGTGCACTCTTACCCCATCAAAAAATGACAATCCAGAGCACCCTATACACGAATCCACTCAGGTGTCCCAGCACGACTTCAGTAAACTACAAAGCCGCTCCACCCACAGAACACACAAACACACACGGAGCAGACAGCGACCGCACAACCAAACACACCCACAGACACACTCATCACTCCACGCCGAAGAGGAATGGAACGAACGAACCGAAAAAGCGAGTGCAGTGTGCCACTTCTAGACACAAATGAACAACTGAGTCACTGTGAACACGCTGACAATCCGTTGGTCCCAGACACACCCTCCCTACACGCCACAACTGAACAAAGCCCAGAGTCACCGTGAACACCACAAACAAACAAAACCACTCACCCATCACACTGTTGGGTTTCATTTAAAGCGCCTTATGGTCCGGTGCGGTTTATTAGTTAAAAAAGTTCAAAAATAGAAGATTCTATGACAGGGCATCTTATAATCCAGAGTGCCCTATAGTGCAGAAAATAAGATACAGTCTACAGTCTGGTATCATACAAAGTAAGATTTTAAGTGGAAATATTATGTATTCTTGTGGGTTCAGTTTACTTTTAACTTCTTTAAGTATTTTGCATTTTCTAACTTAAAGCAACACTGTGTAACCTGTGAAACTGAAGGTGGCATATTACTTGTGTCACTGCATAGAAATAAAAAGCTGATACAAGAGATACAAGTTTTAAGTGAGACTGTGGAGAATTATAGCCAAAGGAAGAACATGAGTCAGGTTTGTGGAGATGTAAGCCCACTCACAGTAAGGACACAATAAAAAAAACCAACATGCTTTTACTTTATTTTTTGTCTATAAAGTGGAAAGCAGATGTTAAAAACGATACCTGTATTACCTCCACAGTATTTAGACACTGAAGCGGCGCCGCTGATGAACAATGAAAAATTAATTGGAGCCCTCAGGTAATGTGACCACTGTGCTAATAGAGCCGAGCGCTTGTTGTGAACCCAATTTTAGCTCAAAATGTTTCCGGTGATGGTTTATGGATTTGAAAACAGCAGTGGAGAAGTCTGGATTTGAACCTGTGGCAAAACTATTCAAGCAAAATGTATTTAGCAGGCAATTTGGATAAATGGATTCATTAAACAAGTGTAAACGAAACAAAATACAACTCCAGATATGTTTTTGAGTAGGGAACAACACTATGACATGTTTATTGGTATTTGACAATGTGTATTTGGTGATACAATAATGATACTGAGCAATGGATGAAAGTGAAAGTCCAATGGGAGCTGACGTTGCTGTAAACTAGGGATGGGCATGATTATTTGACTAATCGATAATTGATCATTAAGAATTTCATCGATTCCATTCATTTTTAATCGACAAACTGAATGTAGGTTACTGTTCGTAGATACAAAGCTGCGTCTGACAGCACAAACACTGGAGTTGTGGCTTCACAGTTCCACTGGCACCTCCTTGGAGTTCACTGTACCACTCAATGAGAATGTTTACATGCACATCATCGTCCTGGTTTTGTCATGGTCAATGTAAACACAGTATCCTGGTTACTGCAAAATAAAGGGTCATATATTGCCCCCAGTCTTAGTGGGCGTGTCCAGGTGGGGTTGTACTTCGCTGCTAGAGGCTGAAGTGGAATGGTACATATACAGTGATGACATCTGAACTAATCTGTGACCGCTGTGGCATTAAAAGCACTGCCCGTGTGGGTAATGTCTGTAAACTTTGCCTCATTATCAGGCGGCAAAGCAGAGTGTGGAGAAAAGTTCTATATGTGACAATAAAACAACTCCAGAGCCCCACAATGCAAGTCCACACCAGCAGAGGCACCAGGAATATAGAATTTTGTGTGGGCCATGACAGAACTGACTGGGTTTGTGTTACGAGCATAAACGAGCACACATCAACCTTTTACATTTTTCTCTGTGTTTGTTTAAGACCAGTGTCTGTCTCATGTGCTCCACATCCCACAGCAGAGCCGCTGCTTTCTCGCTCCTGCTCCCGTCTGTTCTGTAGTCCACTCCCACGGACTCACCTGAGATACAAGTGTCCACCTCTGCTGCCGCTGACCACTCACCGCTCACATTCTCATCTCTCGGATCCACTGCATTTGTTCCCACACAGGTGAACGTCTTGCGGATTATGGAATACGTTTATTGTCATAGAAATGTTTCTGATGTTACGCACAGATATGATACATGTGTCAGCTCTGCTGTCACAGCCTCGAGCTGTCAGTGAATGTGTGTGCAGAGTCCAGCCACGAGAATATGAGGAAATTGTCATCGTAGCATTAGAACAGCTGACAGAGACTTTAGGACATCGATGTAAAGGGCCTCATGTGAATGAGCAGCTTTAGTACAAATCCAGATCAAACCAAACTCTAGAGCAGAGCTAAACCGATACAGCGAAAGGCCGTCACCATCTAAACAAAAGGCACTTCCCATAAAATCTTTAGTCTTTTTTATCCACAACCGTTCTTGTATAAACAGGCCCTAGGAAAGGAATGTGTGTGTGTGTGTGTGTTTGTTTTTTTTGTTTTGTTTTGTTTTTTAAGCAGAAATTTTAAATATCATGATCTCAAAGGGACAGTCCAGAATTTTGGACATAAGGCCTCATTTCCTTGTGATCCAGCGTGTGAGACGTGTGGAGACAGTTTCTGAAATATTCCATCCAGTCCTTGTATTTGCATGCACACATGACCAGGGGCCAGTGAGTCACAGAGGTGAGGCCCGCTTCAATGAACAAACACAACGGTCACTTCAGGAGAACTCCCCATGCAAGCTCCCAGAGACAGATAATACTCCCTACAACTGTATAACAACTCACCCTTATGTAACAGATAATACTCCCTACAACTGTACCCTTATGTAACAGATAATACTCCCTACAACTGTACAACACCTCATATTTATGTA